AGTTCACTAGAGAGCCAAGCTCACATTGGAGCTATTCAGCATCTGGTATGTCTTCATAAGTTGTGTGGAATACTACTCAAAACTATCTCAATGATTTTTCCTCTTTATTATCTAACTATGTCGGTAGATTAGGAACAAAGAGTTTTGTTCAAGTTTCATGCCCTCGTATTGTGTATGAAAAATTCCTGTAGAAATGGACATGCTAAATTTCTGAATAGGATTTTAGTAAAGTGGTCCAAGTTATATTCAAAATAAATGGAATATTTGCGCCAGAATTTGACGAGTAAGTTTTTGTTAATTACATAGTAACGTAAGTTTTTATGTCAAAGAAAGATACATAAATAGAAAATGAAGCTTAAAATAAACATGAAAGCTCATCTGAGCCGCAATATCTCAGGTTAGTTATAAAAGACCTTACATAAGAACAGAAAGAAAATAGGAATTACTGTGTGCAGCAAACAGACAGGCTATCAACCAAATACCTATAACGAGACTTAGAGTAACACTCTTTTGTTAAATTTGAGCAGCATCTTTTTCTGATTCAGAAGAAAGTCAGCAGTTCATAGAAGTTTCTTTTAATATAAATTATTTAATGAATTTCGATGTAAAGTACGAAACCAGGAACATTACTACGTCTCTACAGCTTAGAAGAGCATTAATGTGGATAGGTCATCTTTGTTAGAGAAAACCTTGTGCTGGATTGTTTCACAGAAATTGAAGAATATGAATCTCACAATGCTTCTGATATCAAAAGAAAAAGATCTTACATAATAATTTTCCGATTTCCATAAGTGGCTTATCAAAAAAATTGTCACAGTAGAGTTTACAAGAGTCATTGTTGCACACTTGTGATTTATATTTCTACTATACAAACTAAAACGCCAATAATACTGCGTTAAATTTCCCAGCCATCTTATTCTATTTATAACATATATTTGACAGTCAATTTGAGAATACGAAACCTATTTTAATTGATTTCTTCGTACTATTGGAAATGTATTGAACGCAGGCCTGCAGAATCTGCCATAGCTTCCTTGCAGCACACAAAAAAAACTGAAAAATTTCCCCAACTTTCACAAACGTACGAGATAGAATATCTCTTCATTAAAAATGTATGTTAAAGAAAATAATTCTGTTCTTTTTTGGATTCATGAGTTTTTTATTCAATGAATAAGATGGAACTACAAAAAAATTAGTATTGTTTTTGTTCATTTTATTCAGTCGTAGAGGTAATCCGATAGTGATGGTAACTTTTCTGCTTCTTGCCGTCTCAATCGACTGATGACTAATGACTCGGACTTTATCAACTTCCATCGTTGATATCAGATGTGCAGAATCTGCCCGTCTACATGCACGCGGGTGCGAGGAAATTTTTGAAACATTATTGACTGCAGTAAAAGTTTTAGGAAATTATTGGCTGTAAGAAACAGAGGTGCAGAATCTACCCTCATGCGCGTACAATAGTTTCCGAAAATTTTTAATTTTTTTTGGAAATGCTCACTACTACTACTGCTGAGGGAAATATTTTCCTCTTGTGTGAAAGTTTTTTATTTTAGTGGCAGATTCGATACCTCTGATATTTTCCCTTCTCAATTTTTCTCAAAATTCTGCCGAGAAGTCCGTTTTTCCCAGCAGCGCCGCTGCAACCTATTGGTAGATTCTCCATCTCTGGTTGAACGAGAAAATGAATCACTTAACATTAAATCTTAATCATACGGAAAATTAAGGAATCGAGATTGACGAGGATCGAGAATGTTGACGCATAGTAGCTGGCTGCTGTTCGTTAAGATTCATTTTAGTAGATGTCAACAGAAAATAGAAAAGTACGATGTCTTCGCAAAATGATCGTCCCAAGCAATAAAATAAATATTTCTTTCTACATTAGCACATGTTCTTGAAAATCAAAGTTTGAAAGAGAATATAGTAGGTCACAGGAGGCGAAGGTTAAGTCAAGTTTGGTGAGTGGTCAAGCGAATCATGGTAACAGACACTCTTTGTATTGCATATTAATATGGAACTTAAAATTAAATATCAAGTTTAATATTTTTTCACCTAATACTTTATTCAGTTAAAATCAAGTGAAGAAGTGATACGTTGAGGCGAATGCCATTTAGTTTTACCTTTTGTCATCCACGAAAATCTATTTAAAAAAAAACATCGATTTCTTATAAAGTTTGACGAAACATAAGTGTGGTCGAACAATTTCAGTCTGTATTAGGCTTCGAGACATTCACCTCTATGATTTATCAGTAGGCACACAGTATTTCAGAGAAACAATAATTAGTTTTATCAAAGACAAATGAAGATCACGAATAGTTAGAAGCCAATTAAGAATTTGAATTTCTCAAACCTGACTATCTTTTTTGAAACTTTACAAAAGAGTCTTATTAGTGTAGAAAGTGCTTCCTGGATGAAAAACATAAAGTTCGAATTTTCTGGCACCCAATCACAGATTCAGATTTGTCATCGTGAATCGTTCTCATTGAAGCATTAGAATTGTATCAATACATGCAACTATGTGACTAAACAGTTAGATCAAGACACGAAAACATGGTCGCAAAGTCATTTTATCTTACACGATTCTCTTTGCAGTGGAAGGATTAAGTCAAATAGCAACGCGGATAAAATGAGACTGAACAAGTTCTCAAGCAGAGATCTATCAAAGCATGCAGATTTTCTTAAATTGAAATCTTTAGAAATCTTTAGAAATCTTTGGAAATCTTTGGAAATCTTTAGAAATCTTTAGAAATCTTTGGAAATCTTTGGGAATCTTGAAATCTTGAAATCTGCTTTTTCCCCCTTGTGCCAATCACATATAATGAGGCTATCCGTCTCTTAGTTGATCAACACATCGATTGGTTGATTTAATTCATTCAATCGGTTTCCTTTGCCATAGCCACCAGCTACCACTTATCTCTTTATATCACCTATCTTCCATTGGACAATAGAATGATGGCAAAAGTCGGCAATGTCCATCGTTAGATCATCATTAGCAAAGAGGCCAAAAGGGCAATCGAGTTGGTTGGTGCCATTACCCTGCCCATAGTCTCCAGCAACAATCATCCCGTTCTGATTCCATCGAGCATTAGGTAGAATGATAGGAATGCCTACAACGACCAAGACAAGACAAATAGTCGTTATCATCGTTGTTGAACGAGCATCAGTAAAATACACTCAAACTCACTGTAAGCTTTTTTTGGAAAAAATTTCACAAAAATAACATGCAAAACCTTTTAAAAGTCGCCTACTCTGAGCCAAAGGCTAAAAACAATGAAAATTCGGCAAAGTGATGTTATATGAAGTTGTTGTGAGCATCTGATGCTTCTGATGAGTAAAAGTCGGCGTGCTGTGGCATAGGATACCCGGATTCTTATTGGTTTATTTAGCTTTAGTCAATTGTCAGAAAAATGCGATTTTTTTGTCAGTTGTAGTACACGTACAGTCGCGGCAAAAATTATCCGTACGATTTCGTTTTTGATCAAATTTAGTCAAAATACAGACTTTTAAAGATTTTTTGGATATCAAAAGAAT